ATGCGCAATTACATCCAGTCCAGTACATGAGTAGGAAAACCAAGCCGACAGAACAAAATTATCTCTCCTATGAACTAGAAGTTCTAGCAATTATCGTGGCATTGAAAAAATGGAGAGTTGTTTTGGGTACGAAGATAAGGATAGTGACCGACTGTAATGCCTTCGCGATGACCATGAGAAAAGACGACGTTCCGTAACGAGTAGCAGGGTGGGCCATGTATTTACAACAATTCGATTATGTGATCGAACACCGTACGGGTAGTAAAATGAGTATTGTAGAGAAGAACTAATTCAACATTTATTAATTGCAACAGGTGTACCGCGGAGAAATGGGCAAGTTGAGAGGATACATAGAATTGTGGTACCAATGCTGACTAAATACTGCATGGAGAATCCAATGAACTGGTACCGACATGTGGTACCCTCGAAGTACGAATTTTACACCATTCAAGATACTAATTGGGGTAAATATGCGTGTCAAAGAAAATGAAACCATGCGCACTATTATGATGGAACATAAGGTTATAGAATTACAAAACGAACGAGATACGGTACGGGAAGAGGCTCGAGAAAATATAAGGAAAATTCAGGTCGAAAATCGCAAAACTTACGACACTAAACGAACGACCGAAACGCAACATTCAGAAGGTGATGTCGTGGCTATTAGGCGTACTCAGTTTGGAACGGGGCTTAAGTTGAAACCGAAATTCCTCGGGCCGTATAAAATCGTCGAAAGGCTTAATCATGGACGGCAATCAGTGGAAAAAATCGGGGATACTGCTGGGCCACGAAGAACGTATACAGTAGCCGAGGATATGAAAAAATGGCACCCCGCATTCGAAGCGAACGCTTCATCAGAATGGCCGAATGTGGCAATTGGCGGCGGGCAGTAAAATGAATAAACGAAAAAACTGGCAACGCTGCTAGTTTTTGATTGTAGTTAGTTGGAGAGAGTGAGTGCTGTGGACGGGCGTAAAAAGGGTAGAGCGTCGATTTTAAAATACATTGAAATAACTTTTTTTTTTGTAATAAAATATTATTGTAAAAAATATTAATAAAATTTATTTATCATTATATTAATAAATTTTTCCTACATGTATATATATTTAATAATATAATTAAGAAGTAAATTGCGACATTACTTTTTTCCAGTATGTTTATTTCAAGACAAGAATAATGTATAAAAACGTATATATATATTAATATATGTAATAATAATATAATATAAAAATAATTAGTATAATGAAAATATAACTAATTCCTAATTTATTATTGTTATTTGTTATATTTTTTATCGAGGGGGTAGTGGGGCTTTGCACAACAGAACGCACGACTTTCGGTGCAGAGCTGGATGATGTGTTGTCTGCAGACGATTCAATAAAATAAACTTCGTCGCCTAGCGCAAAACTAGCTGGTGGCTGTGGCAATGTGTCCGTACGCATCACAAGCGGCTGAAAATTAGACATGCGTCCAAACACTTCATTCAATAGTCCAAAATGTATATGTATATAATATTATATTTGTGAAAAATTAATGGCCACATCGTTTTAAATCATTGACCGAAACGCATGTATATAGCATAGCCATAGATTAACATATCTCAAAATTTTACTAACCGTCAATTCAAATTTAAAAATGAAAAGCAACAATTGTCAAAACAGCTGATTTCTGACATTTCTGTTTTGTTGCAAGCAAAAATACATAGGTTTTAGTATTGGAAGATTGCACGCAATTGCACGAAATTTTGTGCGTGTATTTTGTTGTTGTTATTTGCATTCTCGTACAATCTGTGTATTTCGTGCACCTTGCAATGAGTTTGCAAGAGAGAGTGAATACCCCTATTATGCTTTGCGGCAACTATATTATCTTGTATATGGTTTATTTTGTGTTCTTGTCCAATTTGGACATAATAATAATCAGCCTAAATCTTGTATTTTAAGTAATATATTATAAATTATATATTTCATATTAATAATATTCTATTATTTTTGTTTTGTTGTCAAAGCAAATTTTTATTCTCATAATGTTAATGACTTGATGTCTTAGCCTTGAACGGTGGGTTAAGATATCAAAATTTAACAAAACAACAACAACAGTTGTATATCACACGAGCACACTATGCTCGTCATATGAAACTGCAGATAAGCCATGCATTTAGCATGTGCAATTCTTTGATATAGAACATTATGAGAAATTAAATTTGCTTGTGCAAGGTCAGTATTGTACTTATTAAATAATATTTATGTTTGTGAAGCAAGCTGGTATATGGACTTAGTTCAAGGTTAAAAGAAAATAAGTTTATAAGCATATACCAGGTTGCTAAGGAAATTACGCAAGTAATATTCTTATTTGTCAATGCCTACAATTTCCATGAGAACTGTGACCGTTCCCACGACTAAGCTGAGCGATATCTAATCGCTACTTTAATGCAGCTTAAGGTATAGAGCATTATCATGGGAATTGTATGCATCAACACCTTGCCAAATGTGTATAAAACCTCAACATTTTCTAATAAATTTATCATTTAATACAAAACAGCGCTTGCGTTTTAATTAGTTCAAGTGCTTATTAAAACTCAACTGCAAATAGGTTCAAGTGCCTAGTTGCTCAAAAATATTGTTTAAATCGACCTGAAGTTGGTTTAAGTGCCAAATTCAGATTTTGCAATAGGAACTGGTTCAAGTGCCAGATTCCTAACCATAAGCAACACTGAATCGATTCAAGTGTCGATTCAGTTTCAATAAGAAACGACTTATTGAACATTTTTGGTGACCCCAACGTGATCCATCGTGAGTATCACGTTATCATCAATCCAGTGATCCTGCTTAGAAGGATGTTATTGCTGTATTTACAACCATGGAAGTCATGGCAGAATTGATTGCCAAACAATCAGAATTGGGAAAACAAATCCAACAACTGATCACTAACTTCAAAAAGGACTCAAAAGAGAGGAAGACATCCCCTCGCTACTATGAAGAGCCTATTAGGCGACTCAACGAATTATGGGAACAATATGATCATAACGACACACAAATCAGGAATTTGCCAGATTTGGATACGAGCGTTTCATATTTTACCAACAACTACTTTCAGGAAATCAAGGGATTATTTGAAAAATATGAGCAGATTTTCGAAAATAAATTGTCAACCAAAATACCTCCAACACCTTCCTCAAAGGAGTCAGCAACGACAGCACGTCAACCGATGCCGTCACCGAGGGAAGGACAATATAGCACGAGTATAACACGAATGATACACAAGCAAGGTGCAATTTGTGTATCACTGAAGCGACTCATAGCAGGCATCAATTGTCAAACAGGCGTTCAGATGAAATCATTTTATGAAGTGAATATGGCAAGAATTGAGAAGCTATGGAATGAGATTGAAGCCATTAATTTTGAAATTTGGGAGTACACCAACAATCCGACTACAGTGGGATATAAACTCGATGAGTATCTCGAAATAGAAGAATTGGTTCAGTCAACTTTAATTTCGTTAGCTTCAATGAAAGCAAATAATGAACAATTACAACAAGGAATCAGTAAACCAGACAGCGCTGGGATATCACTGCCTAAGGTAACAATACCAAAATTCGATGGCGATTATTTGAAGTGGTGTCAATTCTACGATTTGTTCACCGAAATGATTCACAAGCAGCAGCTTTCTAATGCTCAGAAAATGTGGTATCTCAAAGGTAGTTTAACAGGAGAAGCAGAAGGTTTAGTCCGACACCTGTCAATAACCAACGAGAATTATCAAGCGGCATGGAATTTGGTACAAGAACGATATCACAACAAAAGAATTATTGTAGCAACAATCATTCAAAGAATTCAAAATCAACCAATAAATCAACCAATCCTTCAGCGACAGAAATAAGGACACTCCATGATGTTACTTTTGAAGGATTGCTGGCACTGAAGAATGTGGGACTCAAAACTGATTCATGGTCGCCGCTACTGCTTCATAGTTTGCTCCTCAAACTAGATAAGCAGACTCGCATTTTGTATGAACAGTCGCTGACTCATCCAAGAGAGATTCAGTCGATTAAGGAGTTCATGATTTTCCTGGAATCACGATTCCAGTCCTTAGCGGCGATTGGCCATAGGGAGAAGCCATGCTCAGCAAAAACCCTTGCCACAACTATGGGAAAGGCAAATATATCAACCTGTAAGATCTGTAATAATGGATCACATCCGATATATTATTGCAAAACATTCTTGCAATCAACACCACAAGGTCGTATCAAGACAGTACAAAATCTTAGACTGTGCTTCAACTGCTTACGTACAAGCCATAGGGCAGCAGAATGCAAAAGTTCCCGGTGCAACAAGTGCAGCAAGAACCACAATTCGTTGTTGCACTTATCAGAGTCTTCCAAGACAACACACAAATCGATCAATGTCAAATCAGATTCATTGGTTGAGAAACCCGGTCATCAACCTTCTACTGTAATCACAGCATTAACACAAAATAAGGGATACGTTCTTCTTAGTACAGTTAATATGAAAATAGCTACGTTTGATGGTGATTTCATTGAGTGCAGAGCAATACTCGATTCTGGATCACAAATAAACTTAATCACAGAAAAACTGGCAAGAAAATTAAAATTGCAGTTACACTCATCACCGTTATGGATAGAAGGAATTGATAGAAGCAAAAGGGACACAAAATACAGTGTGACAACAAAAATTCAGTCTCGAATTAATGATTTCAATGTAAAAATCAACGCATTCATGATGCCTCGAATTATCTCAGCCCAACCAACACAGTGTCTGGACACTTCTGGTTGGTCAATTCCCCAGAATATAAAATTGGCTGATCCAGACTTCGCGAATCCAAATCAAATTGACTTATTAATTGGAGCAGAATTCTATCACAGCTTTTTATCGATTGGTCAAATCAAAATAGGTGAGGGTCTACCTGCACTTTAGAACACGGTTTTTGGATGGATATGCAGTGGTAAAGTTAGCAACGGTAATCAAAAATTACTTACCTGTGGCATGTGCAGCGAAGCTGACGACGAAGCATTGGATAATATACTTACTAAATTCTGGCAATTGGAGGAAATAAATCAATCGGATGACAAATTCACTGATGCAGAAAAGAAATGTGAAGAATCTTTTGCTCAAAATACTCACCACAATCATGAAGGGCGATTTGTCGTGAAACTACCATTTAAGGAGGATACAACTGTTCTTGGTGAATCCATGCAGATGTCGATGAATCGATTTTTTAGTCTTGAACGTCGGCTGTTGAAGAATTCTGAACTAAAGAAGGTGTACGTTGACTTCATGCGAGAGTACGAACATCTCGGCCACATGGAAAAAATCAATCAGGATGATATAATGCATCCACATTACATTTTGCCACACCATTGTGTAATCAAGGCAGATAGTACTACAACAAAGCTTCGAGTGGTGTTTGATGCATCTGCAAGAACATCAACCGGAGTCTCACTCAATGATATCATGCATAATGGTCCAGTCGTGCAAAACGAACTCTCATCCATTTTACTGCGTTTCAGGAAACCACGCTTCGTTTTTACAACAGATATTGAAAAGATGTATCGGCAGATACTAATTGATCCACGAGATGAATATCTTCAAACCATTATCTGGCGAGAGTCACCAGAAGAAAACTTGTGCTATTACAAATTAAAAACGGTAACGTATGGCACAAGAGCAGCGCCGTATCTGGTAATTAAGTGTCTACAAATCCTGGCCAGAGAGCATGCCGTTAAATTTCTGCTCGGTTCAGCTACACTCAGCAAGGATTTTTATGTCGATGACGGTTTAAGTGGCTCAGACAGTATCATGGAGGCAATTGCAACAAAGGATCAACTTATTAAAATATTGGCGACAGCTGGTTTCAAACCTCGCAAGTGGTGCGCAAATAATTCCCAATTACTTCAAGGACTCGCTCCAGAAGATCAAGAAGTGGATCTCGATGTCAGCAGTGAGTCACATAAGACAGTAAAAACTCTAGGCCTTATCTGGCTACCAAAATCTGATCAATTTTCAATAAAAACTAACGGACCTACACACAGCAAAATAACAAAGAGGACCGTAAGTTCTGAGTTGGCGCACATTTTTGATCCACTTGGATTAATGGCTCCCGTAGTAGTGAAGGCGAAAATATTTGTTCAAAAATTGTGGCAGTTAAAACTTTCGTGGGATGAAGCTCTGCCTGCTGAAATGCATACTCAATGGACCCATTTTCGTCAGAGCTTATGTGAAATAAACAATGTGAAGATTCCACGACATATATTTCATCATAAACAACCAAGGAATACTCAGATTCATGTATTTACTGATGCCTCCGAAAGGGCCTATGGAGCTGCCATTTACATCAGAGCCGAAATGACTGATCGAACTATCTCAGTTCAGTTACTTTGTTCAAAATCACGCGTCGCTCCATTAAAAACGCAGACAATACCAAGACTTGAGTTATGTGCGGCTTTACTAGGAGCACAATTGGTAGTAAAGGTAAGAAAGGATTTGGAATATGAACATCATCCGATATATATGTGGACTGATTCTGAGATAACATTGCATTGGATCAATTCAGAACCATCAACATTCCAAACCTTCGTTGCTCATCGTATCAGTAAGATTCAGCAATTAACACTAAAGGAATAGTGGAAGCATGTCAATACTAAACAAAATCCAGCTGATTTATTATCCAGAGGTGTAGATCCAATTTACATTCAGAAGAATGCAATGTGGTTTTATGGGCCACTTTTCCTTCATGGAAATCAAGAATGCTGGCCCCAACCATTCCGTCAGGAATTGATAACATCCGACCATTTACAAGCGGAAGTCAAAAGGAAGGTACATGTGCTTACAATTTCACATGATGATGAACTAATCAAAATGATTTATACGATAGGGCATGGAAACTCATTCATTAGGTTGCAACGAATTTTTGGCTATGTGTTGAGATTCATCAAAGGGTTACGTAATAAGAGCAAACACAACGACATCAATTTGACACCATTAGAACTGGATGAGTCATTACTCATAATTATAAAAGCCATACAGCTAAGTGATTTCAATGAAGAACGACATCAACTCTTAAAGAAAAGGGATTTGAAGGGAAGCAGTAGTCTCCACGGACTTTCTCCATTTATCGACGATAGTGGCGTCTTACCTACGATGCCAAACACCCTATGCTGCTGCCATATAACGATCCAATAGCTAGCTCATAATGAAACATTTACATGAGAAGGGACTTCACTGCGGACCGCAAACATTATTAGCCCAGGGCAGGCAGCGATTTTGGATTGTGCAACATTGTGTACAATGCACTCGAGTACGCCCACACATGTTCAAACAAATCATGGGCAATCTACCAGCTGACAGAGTCCAAGCTCAAAGACCTTTTTTCAACGCAGGTGTGGACTTCTGTGGTCCCATATGGATACACCACAAAATTAGAGGCAAAAGACCACGCAAAGCATACATCGCAGTGTTTTGCTGCTTCTCCACGAAGGCAGTACATTTGGAAGTTGTTAGTGATCTCACTACAGATGCATTCTTAGGCGCTTTGAACCGGTTTACGTCAAGAAGAGGTCGATGTCAGAACTTATATTGTGACAACGCGACTAATTTTGTGGGCGCTAAAAATCAAATGAACGAGTTAGCTGAAAGCATTCACAGCACAAATGCTCAAAACAACATAATAAGATCCTGTTCAGCTCAAGGAATTGTTTTTCATTTTATACCTCCGAGAGCACCACATTTCGGAGGATTATGGGAAGCTGCTGTCAAATCAGCTAAATATCTATTGGTGCGAACTATTGGCAACGTGTCACTCACTTACGAGGAATTGGAAACAGTGGTAACCCAAATTGAAAGTATGCTAAACTCCAGACCAATAACACCGTTGTCATCAGATCCAAATGACCCGGCTGCCCTCACACCAGGACACTTCTTAATAGGAGAACCGCTAACAGCCCATCCAAGTAGGTCAGAAACTACAACCAAACAATCGCTTTTAACCAGGTGGAAGCTGGTGAATCATCTAAAAAACGAGTTCTGGTCAAGATGGTCAAAGGAGTATCTTAATGAGCTACAGTGTCGCACTAAATGGAAGGACCAATCACCTGACGCCAAAGAAGGAATGCTGGTAATCATTCAAGAAGACAACGCTCCTCCGCTTCAATGGCCTCTGGGCAGAATCATCAAATGCTATTCCGGTAATGATGGAAGAATCAGAGTTGTAGATGTCAAAACGAAAAACGGGATTTGGAAGCGTCCAATACATCGGCTACCACCATTATTGTCGGAAGATTGTTCAACCCCCATGATGCAACTTGATAGATGTGATGAAGAAAAGCCTAAAAAACGAGCAAAACTCAACATCAACTTGCTAGCCATTGCATTGCTGGTACTATTATGGATACCACTGATATCAGGGTTAGGTATCACGATAAAATCATTTAATAACACACCAGGCATTCATTTCGAACACAAAGGAGTCATCAAAAGATCACAAGCAGAATGGAAAATCATAGCATATTATGACTTAAGTCCATTGCAGCAGGAGTTTGAATTTATTGAAAATGGAACCGAATCCTTAGCGAACGTGTGTAAGTTGATGAATGGATATAATCACTGCTGGACGTTAGTTAAACAGTTCAAGGCAGCGAGAAATGAATTGTTATCTGCAAACATAATGCAGATTAACAAAAGAAAGAAGAGAGGCGCAATTGATTTAGTGGGTAACATTGCGAATGCAGTATTCGGCGTTTTGGACTCAGAATACGCTAAAAATATGGCGCAGACGATTCAACAACTAAAAAATGACGACAAACATTTGCTTAACCTTTTAAAAAACCAAACTTCAATTTTAGATTCTACTCTAAATATCATGAAACGAAATCAGCAGCAGTATCAAACAACCTTTGAATTAACAGTCGAGCGATTGAACGATGTAAAGGCAAAAATGTTAGAAGAGGACAAGGAAATTTATAATTTAAAACTCCACCAACTTTTCACTGCGATTTCAACTCAACTATTAAGTGTAACAACAAGTATTCAATTTTACGAATCAGCAATTTTAGGAGTGTTGACCGACACAAATCATGGAAAAATCAGTCCACTTCTCCTGACGCCAAAGCAACTCATGAATGAGGTTACTACAATGAGGGAACATCTCAGGTCAACAATGCAGTTGCCGGTTAACATGAGCAACATTTCTGAGCTATATTCTCTTATGACAGTCAGCAGCGGTTTATTTGATACTAAAATGTTGTTTCAAATAACTCTACCACTAATCAATGATCAGTCCTTTGATTTATTTGTTGTTATTCCCGTTCCAGGGATCATAAACAGAGAATATGTGACAATCACACCATGCACGTCTATGATGGCATTCAATACTCATAGGAATGGATACTTTCCGATTTCAGAAATACAGTTGTCACAATGTGTGTCTTCAAAAATGATGTCTTCATCTGTTCAGATACACAAGAAAT